GACACAAATAATGAACTGTTTAACTGAATAGTTGTTTATCATCTTTCCATTAAACTTTCGACTCCTTTCTAAACTAACTACATAGATGGGATCCATATACCCATGGCCGATACATTCGTGCATACACTCTGAACTTTTTAATGAATGAATCAACAAAAAACACGTAATTGTAGAAGAAAGTTAATTTTAGAGTTTTTCAAGAATACAGACAAGATGACCATCATAGACCAAAATTACAAATCAACATATTCTTCAGAATTCATTATTCTCGAATTTCCAGCACCTGAAAAATGTTTTATTTTCTGAAGATGTTGCTGGTAAGGAAACTCATCAATAATTGATATCACTCGTGATAGGGCAAACAATGGAAGTTTGTGATTGGGGTATTTAAAACTATGTCAGAAATCAGTAAAGTATGCTAATCGCCGAAAATTTTGAGAAAATTTAAACTTGGCATAGTTAGTTTGAAACAGATAGCTAATAGTCGAAGTAAACTAGTTCCAATTATCGAGAATATAAAGTTATACGGCCATCAAGAACAAGCGATAAGAGTGAATGTCCCTGAGCTAGAGATAAACCATGTAAACTTTAGGGCTTTATTGATTATGAGGATGAGTACAAGGCGTGGAACGAAAACTTGTTGAAACATTCTAAAAGCGTCATCAAGGAAAGTTACATATTTTAGCAAACAATTCAAAACGAAAAAAATGAGACATCTGGTGAAATAATCGAAGAAAATATTTTCGCATAATGAAATGAAGAAAAATGTTCCGTTTTTGCAGATGAAACAGACATTTCAAGAAATGAAAAAATGTATTTTTTGTCCTGAAGTAGTCATGGTATGTATTAGGTTGTTTCAAAAGTTTTTTCCGTTTTTATGAGTCTTCTCTCAACAGTAATATCTCAGTGAACACTCATTCAATTCCAACGACATAAACGTTAATTCCGTCAGCATGAAAATTGCGGGATTCGATGAAATCGACAGAGGCCATTTTTGCTTGTTCTTAATAGGCGAAAGTTCTTCTGGTGAGAAAGTTATCGAAGTGCCTGAGAAGACGGTAGTCTGTTGACGAGAGGTCTGGGTAGTATGGTAGGTGAGGCAGAACTTCAATGCTCAATTCGTACAATTTTCGGACGATAATTTATGAAACATGGAAAGAGCGTTGTCCTGGAGTATGATCGGACCTCCTTTGTTGACCAGTGCCAGCTGCTGCTAACACAATTTTCGGTACATTTGATAGACTTTCTCACAATATACTACTCACACTAGCCGGATCGGATCCAAAAAAGGATCAGTTTGGTTGCGCAAAAGCAAAAAAATATGCCTCGAAACGTGACAATTTCTTTCGATCGTTCAAATCGTGAGGCACCCATTTTCCCCTCCTTTTTTTTCTTGACCTTCACAATTCGTTTCAAACCATTAAAAACCGCATGGGAGCTGACGTCCAGTTCTTTCGCGATCCCAAGCACCGTTTGTGATAGGTCAGTCTCCACTAGGGTCGTTCAATCCTCGTCCTGGATTACTGTCCTAGATTACTGTACGTCGACCATTTCGAGGCTTATCTTTGAGGTTAAAATTTCTGGAATGAAATTTCGCGAACCAACGTCGAACTGGCGGACATTAACAGTATCATCGTCAAATTCCTGGTTAATTTATTGGGATGTTTCAGCAGCGCTTTGAATCGATTTGTATTCGTACAGAAAAAAAATTATATTTGGTAAAAAAATAACAGCATAATATATAGAGTATAAAATTCTATATCGATCAGTATAAAACACAACACAGTATAATAAATATATATTGAGATATGGAGGTACAAAAACACATGACATTGAAACGGACAAAACATGATGGATCATGTGGGATGATTTTTTGACATTTATTTCCGTTAATAACATCATGGATATTCATTTGGCAGTTCTTAGGTATTGATTGTAATTATACGATAGGTCAAGGCTCAGTAGACAAGAGAAGAGAAGTCCTAGTTAGAGGTGAAATTCAAGAGGGGAGAATAGGTAACTGCATTCCATTATATGAGATACCTATATTGGGTGGATCTAGTCAAAGCCAATCTGACTCATATTAATATTATTTAATATTAATATGAGTCACTCACGACTTACAGATAGTGAGCCCCAAGAACATTATTCCCTGCAAAGTTTATGAGAGGATCATGTATTTATGGATCTCATGTTTTTTTGCAATACAAAAAAAATTGAAATCATTCGATAAAAACGACGGTTTGAAGGTGGTGATTAACAACTCCCCATCAAAAATAATAAAATTCATACATTCATTTCAATGGATATTAGTAACATTTGGAATGAATGTTTTTCCAGAAATTGTTGACAATTCTTGAAACGAAAATCTTAAATAGGTTCGGCTATACGTTCGAAAAGGTCGTATGCTTACGACTTCTCTCAGCAATCTCATTGCAGGAAATATAAAGAAACCAATTCAAAACCGAGTTGGAACACCCTTCCCCAATATCATTGAAAAAGATAAAAAGTCAAATGTGTGATGTCAAATTGAAAAGATCTCCTTTTCAGGCGGCGGTGTTTGAATGACATCCGACGGATACTCTTAGGGATGTTTTGTTATATTTTTACAGCAGAATTTATTTCCAATTCAATGAGGATTTGGGGTTTTATGTTTTAGTGAAGTATTCGTTCAATCTCAGTTTCAGTTACGCACTACTTCCCGGAAATAATCAATAAAGAATTAGAAACAAATAATTGGAAATAATATTTAAATAACAGTGAACAGTTCAGAATCGTTGAATCTTCTAAAATGTTTTGGAATATTCGCTCATATTCTGGAACGTTCGGGGACATACAGAAGTATTGTGAAACATTCAAGAATTGTATCCAATAGGTAAGTCTACTATTGTAGGGGTATATAAAGCAAAATTCGTCGCTCTGTTCACCCTGAATAATCATAAGCCTATAGCAGGGTCCCAACAAACATTTAAAAAACTTTGTAAATCACTAACCCTAGTAATGAATTAAGTAATCAAGCAAGCCCTCTTCACTTACTTCACTTGCACTTTCATTTCAATCACCACATAATCTCATATACACTCCTTGAGCGAAGCCTGGTACCATAATATATAGTCACTAATAATAATTCACCTTTGATGAAATTCATTTAAAAAAATTTTGTTGACAACTATCAGTTTCAATTTTGAAAAATAAAAATATGCAACCACCGAAAGATGAGACCCAAAATTGACGCAATGGAAATCTTTCTTCATTACGCGTTTCGCATTGGTTTGCCAGGAGGCTAGAGTTTATTTTCTCGAGCGATAGTTACCATTTCGCGATAACTCCTAAGATATAAATGTGATTCGTATGGCGTGACGGAAAATTACAATGTGCGTGCTAAAGGCAACTGACGTATTCATTTGATCAGGATTATTACCATATCCGTCTGAAAAACTTGCCAAGTAGCACATATTATTTGTCTGTAACCTCAAACATCAAAATCGGTATAGTAAATTATTCTCAGAGAGAGGTAAGTGCCATAGCAAATATTTTGTACATCTACAGTACATACTGAATTAGTTTTTTGTAAAAGTAGACAGCATTTTTTATGAAAGTTCGCACATTTAGCATCACCGCTCCGTCTCAGTACGGATAGCATGTTTCAACAAATTTACACAAAACAATGATACATCATTTAAACCGTGAACTACTCCGTCCAGTAGTGAAAACCGTTGTTCTGTAATTTTTGAGTTCATTGCGTTCAGACAGACAGACACGAAGAGAGACGTTGATCCATGATATATAATGATATACCAATCACAATTGATAAAAGTATAGATGATATACAATATAAAAATGATGATTGCACTCAAAAACCGAGCTCTCAGTAAATACAAGAAATCTTTATCTATCGCCGATTGGAATAGCTATAAGGACCTCAGAAATTATACATGTAGTGCGATACGACGTGAGAAAAAAAGCATATCTGGACTTTGTTTTAAGAAATAAAAATTCCAAAGCAACTTGGAATGCCTTAAGAACGCTTGATATCCTGAGGAACAAGAAAAAATCAGATATCCCTGATGAATTAAAAGACGTCAATCTCATTAACCAGCACTTCAATTCCATACCTCAACCTATCAGATCTGCCCACCAATTGTCCTTATTAGATCGATATGTTAATTCGGAGGAAACTGAAAACTCCTTTCACTTCACCTCAGTCACCTGTGAGATTGTGCGAAGTTCCCTAAGACGCATCAAGAGCAAGGCTTTGGGTTCTGACGGGATATCCCTCAAAATTATCATTGACTCTTTTTTGATAAGTCACTTCACCTTTCTCATACACTTTATCATTACCAGTTGCCAATTTCCAAAATGTTGAAAGGATGGATTGGTTATCCCTCTGGCTAAGTGTAACTCACCTACTGTCCTTTCTGACCTAAGACCAATTACAATTCTACCGTATCTCTCTAAAGTAGTGGAATCGATTCTGAAAAATCAGATTAATGAGTACGTCAATGAAAATCATATTATAACATCTGTACAATCAGGATTCAGACCTCAGCATAGTACCACCACGGCTCTTCTGTCAATTACTGACGATATTTTTCAAGCTGCAGATGAACAAAATTTGACCTGTTTAATACTCCTAGATTACAGCAAGGCATTTGANAAAATTGCTACCTTTTGCCCGCCCTTATATTAACCTTCAGCCGAAGCTACTGAACCTAGAATCTTGAAATATGCAGGTAGGTTTTTTGTATAGCGTAAATGAGAAAAGGAATCAGGAATTTCCACCCCCAGGGGGAAAAATAGGGGTTCACAGGTTGTATTGAATTTCGTCAGTTTCGAAGTTGGAAACCTGAAATTTTGGGTTGATAAAAAAAAATTGTTACTATTTGTTTAAAAAAGTCTGTCAGGAAACTCAAAGTGACAAACTAAATCCTACGCAGGCTAAACCGTGAGCAACAACTAGTATCCTATAAATGCAAATATTTTGAGCAAAAACACATGGTATTTCAATATTTTATATTTAATACATAAACAACCTGAGAATACGGAACGGTAAAACATCACTGTTCTTCAACAGTTCTGTAAAAAGTAATTTTCGGTATATTTAGTTACACATACTCAATCCTTCATGCAATATTGGCACAGAGAACTATAATTATCGACTTGACTTTTTCAAAAACTTCTCGTTTTTCTCCACAGGAAAACGTATCCCATGATATAAAAACTAATTAGGAGAATGACTAAAGCCCAAATATCTCTATTCAAACTCTCTTCCGAGAAACTGTATTTTTCCAGGACATCCGATCCTTCTCTCATACACAGAACTCCTGCAAGTTGATTTTCACATGCTGAAAAGAAAATTTTGCCTCAGTGAATTCGGTGCACTTTCATTGATTTCATTGAAAGAGCAAAGTTTGTTTAATCCTTTCAATTTATGTAACAATAGTGCCAAGTCCTTAATGAGTTGCTATATAATTATTGAGAATGGATAAGAAGTAATAAGTGAAAAAAATTCTGTTCGCATTCCCATCCGCTCCCTGTTTCGTATCAATAAACGATGATACTAACGAAAGAGCCGAGGATAACAGAAGAAAAAAATGTTCAGTGATACAACTTAAGAAAGCTGATGGAACAGACAATTTTGAGATGTAACATGCTATATTATTAGAGATCGTAGGTTATTCAGTAAAGTAATTTCAATTCGGATTCATACCAAAGTACAGGAAAAAATTGTTTTAATTTTTCGATTGGTGCCCTATTTTGATTATTCGATCATTCAAATCCAACTTTAGAAAATGGGCGTGTTTCAATTTGACTATGAGAACATCATCAATCAGAAAAACGTGAAGACTGAATTCAGCTTTTCGATTAGTTAAGTGTCGGGCGAGTGAAGTATTACCTGGCCTGAAAAGTCTGGGACCTAACATATAGATGGCACTAGTCTCAATGCATTCACCGCTTTTTCAGTTAGTACTAACCTTCGAAAGAAGGCTGTTGAAATTTTATGATATTTTACCCATAAGTTTTGCTAAGAGTGACTCTTCTTTTGTCATTTTCTAAACGATGGATCAAAAACAATTTCGTGTTTTAATTTTACACTGTTCCTTGATGGGAAAGAATTCCGTTTGAGCGAAGAAATCGGTTGAAAAGTGTTATAAAGAGTGACTTCAAACGTGGTCGTAGAGACACGGATGATGCAGAATGCAGTGAACGTCCAAATAAAGCAGGCACCAGAAAACAAAAAGTTGAGTTGCGTGAGTTTGCTGACATTGTAAACATATCAAAAGAACGGATTGGCTATATATTGCATGAGCATTTGACTATGAGAAAGCTGTGTTGAAAGTGGATGCCGCGCTTCTTGATGATTCTGAGCAGTGTTTGGCCGTGTTTAAATAAAACAAACCGAAATTTTTGCGTCAATATCTGACAATGAATGAAACATAGATTCATCACTTCACTCCGAAATCAAAACTGTCGTCATCCGAGTGAAGAGCAACTGGTGAACCTCGTCCAAGCACAACCTCGCAAACACAACAACCGGCTGGGAAGGTTATGACCTCGGCATTTTAGGATGTGTGTGATGTAATATTCATCGACTATCTTGAGAAGGGAAATACCATTAACAGTGAACATTATATAGCCTTATTGGAGCGTTCAAAACGACCGCTCATGGCAAAGAAAAAATGTTTGTTTCATTAAGACAACGGAGCGAATCACAAGTCAATCAAAGCAATGACAAGACTACATGAATTGAACTCCAAATTGCTTCCACGTCCACCGTATTCCCCAGATTTGGCTTCCTGCGACAACTGACTGTTCGCAGGCTATCTGGTAAGAAATTTCGCTCGACTGAATAGGTTTATTTGTGTTACTTTTGATGGAGATTACGTTGATCAATAAAGCCAATTTTGAACAAAAAACGCGTTTTCTTTCTTAGGCCCGGGACTTTTCAGCACATGTCATGTCTACCGATTGTTTTAAAAACTTAGAATAATCAAAATTTTTCTAGTGATCGAGTCACTGGAAATGATGTTTGAATTACGAGTAATGCTGATAACATTCGCTTTCACTGGTCAAAAGATTTCTATATTGATAGGTAGAAAGGAAATCTCTGGCAAAGAATGAATCTATTGAATGAAAACACTTGTCCCCCACCAGAACAGAATACGGTCTCCTGACGCGCGTATCGCTAACCAAGTTAGCGAAAAACTCTTTCTTCCTAGCAAATACAAGATTGGATTGATATAATTTGAAATGAATTTCAGCAGCGAGTGAACACATTTTCTAAGAGCATAAATGATCATTACTGAATGTGGCATCTACAAAGCTTTGGTTTGGACACAATATTTCTTAAGAACGTCGTTTCAATGATTATAGAGAACCATAACATATCATATTTTTTAAAGAAATTCAGAAAATTACCTGACAGTAAGTTGTAGACTACAGTAGGGATGACGATGTCTAACAGGCCTTCTTTCAGGTCACTGTCATTTGAATTATCATATGCAGAGACTCGGACTGTCGGAAGACAGTGTGTGTCGCCTCTGTTTGGAAAATAATGCAACAGCAGAGCACATACTTTGTGCTTGCCCTGCTGGACACCTAATCAGGTTTTTAGAGTTCGGTAGAGCCGTACTCTTACCATTCGACCTGAAAGACCACTCACCATTCAAATTAATCGGCTTCGTTAAGAATCTGGGTTTATTTGGTCGAGTGTGAATAAGTGTGAGCTACAATAAACCCTTGCGGGTTGCGGTGGAGGGTCGAATAGACCCACTCACTTTGGACCTAACCCAACCTAGACAAAAAGTTTTGAAGAACATTTCCTTGGTGTTTTCTTAACTGACGATTTAAAGATATTCTATAACTCCTTCGGGTTTTAAAAAGTTGCTTCTTTTCATTTTTCCAGGTTGACTTTCATTCAACATAGTTTATACTACACCTACCTTGGTATGAATAAAACTGAAAGTATCCAAGAATTTGATATACTCATACTCCATGCATTCATTCATTGATGAAAGTGTGAATTTTTGACATTATTCCAGAATATTCGACTTGCTATACATCATTATCTATGATTTTATACTTACTTATATTTGTAACGTCCTTCCACTGTAAAATGGTCAAGGATTCCGTAGAATACATCATCCATGATAGATATTTCGTCCAATTCAACAAACTAGGCATGGTGCTAAAAACCAAATAAAAAACCTTTTTCAATTATCTCAGTGTAAAATTTATAAACAATTTTTCCTCACCTTAATCGTATAAATACACCTGAGGTGATCATTAGAACGTAATCGAATGGTACCAAATAGGCTAGTGCCGTAGGTACTGACTCGAAAGCATTCGAGAACATTATACCTAGAAACATAATGGTTAAGCTTGTTTTAATTAAAAGATGTAAAAGAGAATACAAGTAGAGGGTAAGTTAAATTGGAGGCAAACGTTCTAATCAGCTATAATTCGAATAATTCTTATAACAAGCTCAAAGATTCTGATCACCATTCAAATACCAATTTAGATAATCCTCCAAAAAACCTCACTCGATATCAGCTTAAATAGCAGAAGTATCTAGATATGTGGATAATTCATTAACATTTTCAGAAAAACACCAACAAAATAGAATAACAAAGCTATTTTTTATTCCAAGAATTTCAATGGAGAAAAATTAATATATAAGTATTGGGAAACAGTGAAACTACTGACTCTAGCTGATGTGAAAGTTATTTGTGTTTATTTGTGTGTTATTTGTGTTATCAGTTTTCAGCAAAACGCCATTCTCTTATTCAGAACAGAACAGACATTTTTCTTCAAGAGCTACAGAATATCATACCCAATTGTTCCACTTTAATTTTTACTGAATATGTTGAAATAATGGGAGTGTCAGGTGTAGGATTACAATCTGTTTTATAATATAGTGCAGCATATTCTCAAAAATACAAATACGTTTTTTATGCACATCGGTAAGTTTATGCATTAGTACTAGATAATCTAGAGACTTGTTTTTGTCAATTCTTGAGATACTGTCGACAGAATGTGAATATTTTCTGTAATGTTTCATGCTACAATGAATTCGGCAAAATCGTCAAAAAAATCTTTTTTAGTATACTCATAAGTTTTTGTGGATCAAAAATTCTTGGTCAATTTTTTTATAATGGCTCCATGACTGTCATTCTGAACAAGTTTTCGGATGACCTCATAGATATGCAACATTTTTATTTGTAGCTGAATTGAACTCCTGCCCATTATTGTAGAGAGAAGAACAAGCTTCTGGTGGTCTTGTTCATTGAAAAATGAATAGAAATCAAGGTCATGCATTTCTATGTCTCCCAGATCTTGTAACCTCAACTCTTTTGACTTTGGTCATTGGTATTGGTCAGTGGTATTGGTATTGGACTTAGGTATCGATTGATTTTATTTTGCAGAAATCGAGCAGTCATAATAAATGTTTTGGATGTAAGCTTTGTGAAACTATCTGTTGATTCAATGTTATTAAATGAGTTCCTTGAAACATCAGACATCACCAAAGGTTAAATGAGAGTTGATGAAACATTTATAAGAGGTGCTTATTTTCAGTGGAATTCGAAAAATGTTGTGAGTTTGATTTTTTTTTCAAATGTAAGAACATCCACAACTCTTCTCTTTCAAATATTGACCTAAGTGAGTATATAAAATTATCGAAAAAAAAGTTATTAAATTATCTAAAAGAACAATTCGCTCAGGTCAGTCTCAACTCCCCATACTGTAGGTCAATGGAATGACACCTATCAGAAAACAACTACTCCCCTGGGTAATGTCACTCACTACCTTGTACTAACGAGGGGCCAAATAACCCGAAACCGGTCTGCAAGTGTCTGTTCAGTAATTGAAAATTGATTTCAACGCCAACAGCATATGCAGGAAATACTCCAGGAAGATTCCTGCATGACACCTGTCGGATATAATTCAATGCCTTCGCCCCCGGGTGGGCTCGAACCACCAACCTTTCGGTTAACAGCCGAACGCGCTAGCCGATTGCGCCACGGAGGCTGATGTCAAATTTTTAGTCGTAAGTAGATCCAACAAACATAATACAAAGTATTCCAAAAGATCCGAAATGGTTAAATATATTGTTGAGAAAAATGATTTCGAAAAATAGTCGGACAGGTAGATTTTTATTTTTGAAGTGTCAGTACCACTCCTTCATCCTTGAGGGATTTCAGCCCCATCTTTGAAGTTACATTTTTGAAATGGTTCGCTTCCTTCCTTTCTTTGGAAAATTTCCACATTTTTTGTATCAAGATGAAGAAATAGAAAGCCAAAACGTCTCTCTCCCGAAAATCAACCTATCCTTAAAATATACCCCTTTCCATTTAAAAAAGATTCCCTTGGCTGGGATTCTTTCAATAAGTAAATGAAATTTTACCTTTTTCGTTTGGTAGATTGTGTAGGAATCTTGTGAGTGATATCTGATCCAATTCCATAACGAATATTTGGAATGAAAACTGAATAGGGAAAAGTGTTTTTTGTATAATTCAGTGTTCATATAAAAATATTTGTTTCGAAAGTATTTTTCTTTCGTGTAATCCAAAGTTTATATGGAAGTAGTTGTTTTGAGAAGACTCTTTCTCTCAGTTTGTGTCTGAAACTTCCTTCTTTGCATGATTTACAGACCTTTATATAAAGTTATTTTTTGAAATTTATTGCTTCCTTTCATTCTTTGGAAGATTTATACATATTTTCGTATGATGGAGAAGCAGAAAGCCAAAACTTTTTTTTTTTCTCAAAAATTCATCACTCCTAAAAATATACCCCTTTCAATTCAAACATCTATATAACTTTCTGAATGTGAAAACAATTTCCATATTTGTAAACCATCTTTCGGTAGAGGGGCATAAGTTTGACTGGTTCATTTCGTTAGAGAAAGGTTCAAAACTCAATCTTTTAGAATGATCAATCAGAAATCAATAGATTAAAATATTGGGAAAATTTTCTCAGTAACCAAATAGCTTTGAATAATGGTTATGTTAAATTTGCTGTTTAATTTTGTTCGAAATTGGCTGATAATGTTTCATAGTGAATTTTACTAGTTCGGACTTCCATTGTCTAATATGATTCGAAATATATGAAGGGACAAATAAAATTAAAATGAATAGCTGAAATATCAATTATATCAAGTAATAAAACGTGAATAAAATAATCAAGATAAAAGATGAAAATACAGAGTAAATAAAAAATAATAAAAATAAACAATCAAATTAAAAAGGAATTGAAAAGTTAGAAAAAAGATTTCGAACCAAGTTACTTCACGAAGTTTCGATTCTTAGTACACATCCATAATGGTCTTCGGGCGATGATTTTTTTTAAATGCCCAATAATTTTGAATCTATTGAAACGAACCATTCTTTTCAAAAAAGTGAGTTCTGATGATTTTTCATGAGATTCATAGGCCTCTCAGTTCATCGAAAATATTTATTTATTATGTAAGAACTGGACTTGTAAAATCTGGAGTCTGCAGTGAAATTTTATAAGCAAGTGTAGTTCTGGTGTGCGGGAGCTATGTCTGTGTAAGATTTATGCCACCACTAGTTTCACCTTTACATATTGATGATTGAGGATATATATTGTATCTATAATATTCAAGTGGACAATAATTTTGCCTACTTTTCTCTAATTACAGCGATCTTAGCCTAAATACCCTTGTGCAATGGTAATTACATTTTGTAACTATTAGGTACTGAATGAATAAATCCATTAGAAACAATGAAAAAAAGACAATTGAAACTTTCTATATTTTTCACCACTTTCATTTGTAACTAACGTTACTGCAGAGTTTAATGTATAACTTTGAAAATGTCCTTATAGGACGAAACTGCGGTAACTTACCTTAGTTACAAATAAAAGTGGTAAGAAACATAGAAAGTTTCAATTCTCTTTTCTTCATTATGATTTCCTACCACGTAGTAACTGCTACATCCATCAATCCATTAGAAACATCTTTCCCAGACCTGAACAAGGATACTGTCTCTCGACACATCAGGAGATGTCTCAAACTAAATCTTACGTCTATGTTAATGTTTTGTTGAACATCAGGACCCAACCGTCACCATTCATGATGAAGGTCATTGGTATTACTTAGTGTATTATTTTTTCATTGTTCCTAATGTTGATCACACCTATTTTGATAGCTATCATATACTTTTTTCTACCTGTAATCATTACTTTTCTGATTGTTTCGGAAGTTACTTGATGAAGATCCATAGAAGTTTCATAAACTACACCTCAGGATTTGATCTCTACAAACTAAGTTTGTGAAGATCAAATCGTGAGGTGCAGTTTATGAAAAATGTAATCATTACGTCAGAGAGTAAATAACGGGCTGTAATCTCTTTATGATAATAACTTGGTTTGCAAAATGCACGTCGAGAGTCAGTACTTATGCTCTGCTGTGGAAAAAGTGTTTTCAATATTTTTATTTTATATTAGAGGTTCCACATTTCAACGTCAAAATGACCGGAAATAATTATAAATTTTTCTTTAAATGGTCACTTTTAACATTGTTCAAATTGTTATTCTCACCAAAGAAAGTATTCGAGAGAGATAGTAGGTCACCGGGTTATACAGACCCGATTGGTACTCCCTCAAAAATAGTGGTTTATTTTTCGGAAACTCGGAAAGCACGGAATACATTGGGTTGAACGTATTCTCTGAGACAAACATAAATATGATTCCTTGAACTGATTGTATCCCATTTTGAGAAAGACGGTCCGTTCCTAAGAAGCATAATCCAACAATGCTAGCAATGATCTGAAATGAAAAACGACAGGATATTTGATTTGATTAATATTCATAAAAGGTGATATATGGAGAAAAAATGTGAGTTCGAAAAAAAATGTAATTAATTTTTTTTTACATTTGCACAGTGTGAAAAATCGGATAATACATATACTGAATCTTTTAAAATTTGTTTTTCCAATAATCACCTATTGCTTCATTACGAATGACAATTTTCAACAATATAAACTCATGAGAGCCAAAGATTAACGAGATCTCACCTTTTGATGTGCAATTTCTAGCATTAGCACGATAAGCTGAAAAATCGATTGAATAAGTAGAGATCATAATAAAAATCAAACTCTAAATGCTCTATTCGCCTATTTATCATCACAATACTACTTATTTACAACTCAGGTTATATACAATGTACAATTTCTCCTCTCCCTCTTGCAGGAGGGAATGAGGAATAGTATAAGGAAGATAAGGGAAAAAATGGGTAGGTAGGGAGGCAAGGGGAAAGGTCGAAATGTAGAGCTCTAATACGACTTAAGTAAATATCGCCTCTGAGGTGTCGGTGGAGGAGTTACGGGGAGGAGGGAATACTTCCGCGAGAGCTGTTATCAGCAGTAGGTACATCAGTTTCAACTTTTCGTCACGTTTCACCATGAATTTCCTTCACGAACTGAACGCTCTCATCGGTCAGTTCCAAAGGATCCACCAATGAAAGGTATCTGTCACTATTTGCGCAAATACTGAACACCTTATGCATCCTCACGAGTCTCAACAAAGTCTTCATGAGGCTGCAGAATATGAGACAAGCGTACAATACAGCTGGTAAAACTACTTGTTTGTAAATAAGCATTTTGTTGGCATCCATGAGTTTGGAATTCCGTGCAAAGTACATGACCTTTTTCCAAATCCATCCAGACCAACCTATCGAGGTGGATCTGAAGCTACTGCTTCGCAATCTGGCTAGAAAATGAATGCGCTTCAATAGTGGTATCATCCGCATAAATGCCACATTAGTTTTCGAGAACATAATAAATTCGTGCATATAAAGCGAGTATAGATGCGGTGACCAACAGGACCCCTGTGGTACACCTGCTTTAATTGGGTAGATTATGAAAGTGGCTTGGTTCACACTGATCACAAATATTCGGTTGCTCAGGTTCCGAATCACATGTAATGGCATGCCTGCCAACCACATCTTGGTGACAAAACCCTATGTTCAGACCTAATCAAAAACATGATTTGAATGGGTGGAACGAATAGCTCACGCTCTCCAACCAGTTACTGTCCTTCCGAACAATAACGAACCAAAAATACTAGTATTATTGTCAAAACGCGACGGGCGCTTGATATACGAAAAATATGGCACAAAGCGCTCACGCTTTTTTCACAATAATATTAGTATTTTTCATTCGTTATTATTTTAAGCTTATTTAAAGGAAATATTTTCAACTTTTTAGTTCGATGTTCTTTAAAAGCGTGTTTTTTAGTTTTATAAGCTATATGCATTTTTCAATTTTTAGTTTTGTATGCTGTGAAAGCGTGTTTTACAGTATTTTCAAACTATATCCATTTTATCCAAACTTTGGGATTAATCAGCCGTATAATGTTTAGAGAAATGACCATTGATAGTTTCATACAGCGCCATCTGCCCGCGAATAGATCAATCATTAATTTCGATATATCAAGGAGGATACGTACAGCGCCATCTGCCCGCGAATAGAGCAAGCAATAATGTGGGTAAATCTGTCAAACGCAGATCCCGAGTTTGAGAGTTACAAAACATACATACATACAGGTGAAGCTAATGTAAAGCGTGTAATAAAAAAGGACGGTTCAGATGCAGCCACTTACTTACCATTCTCTGGAATAATTTCAAAATTTCTATGTAAGGATCACGCAGAATTTCAAGAATCCATCTGTATGTCAGCCAGAATAGTTTAGAGTGCCAATAAATTTCCTTACTGAAACATGGAGATTTGTGTTAATTTCTCAGTTACTGTGCTGACAATAATACTCACAAATCTTTTTTTAAATCAAACTTCCTAGGCTGAAACAAAGATCAAGTTAATGTTCAACACGAATCTACGTCAATATAAATAATATGTAGAGGGTAACTCTTCTCGATACACGTTTCTTCAACTAAGGTTGACATACTCGACTTTCGCTTTCAAGAATATTTGAGTCACCAGCAACAATAGCTCTATAAAATTCAGACTTTTTAGTTTATAGAAAGCAATAAATGTAACGAACTATTGAAAGTCAGGATGATTTATTTTGAAACGTACTGAACACAAGCGAAAAAGGAAAAAAATTGCAGAAAATATTGAAAAAATCGATTTAGTCTTTTTCAATACTGTCGAGTAATATTTATTTCCGTAAATGTAACATGAGAATATCATTCTACCTACAAGTACCAAAACAAAACGAAGTGGGATCGTACACCTGGTACCAGACTAAATACTTGTTCCTCGTAAGAAGGCAATTTATTATCGTCGGAGTTGGAAACGAAAAAGAAATTACGTATGATTAGTAAGTACGTACTACATTATTTCTCAGAAAAATATTGTCTAGGTTGAATTGATGTAGGTCTGTGCACTACGACTATTAATATAATTAATGACTTATACGAAGAATACTTACCACTGGTGCCCTACCCATGTGGAATTCGTATTGTACTACAATTTCAACTTCTTTGGCATAATCGCTAACTATGTAACGATCACAAACATTCTTAATCGCCTGTCTACTGTTTGCTTCGTAACCTGGGGTAACTGAGATTGTTTTAATGAAAAAGTCGGCAGGACTAAAGGAACTAGGACAAGTATAGCCCATTCTGAAAAATAGATGTAACTAAATAAAAACAAATACTTTCAGGTCAAAATATATCACGAGTGAAAATATTGATGAGTGAACAATATTGAAATGTACTGATTGAAGAAGTTATCAAAACGTATGAATATGTAACCATATTCAACATCTTCCAAAAACCATGTTGAACCCGGTCTTGTGTCAAAATTTGCGTAGTCAAAACTACAATGAAATAATCTGTTCATGAACATGCAGAAATTATGAATAGATAAGTAAATAATTCATGGACTGGAGCAAAAATTTCCCCTCAGCTGGTAATTTTTTCCCTGATTTTTTGTCGGAAACTTCAGAATCTTAGATACAATCAGTGACATATTCTGGTACATGAACAAGGTTAAATACTCTACCTTTCAAAGAAGTCCAAGGCATTGTGAGTTGAACCCATGTAAGCCACCCTTCCTTCTGCCACCAATATGAGTTGACTGAACATAGCGAAAATATCTGACGATGGTTGATGTATAGTGCAAATAATAGTTTTGCCCTCTGATGCCATCATGTTCATCATACTGATTAATTTCTGGGCTGAGAAAGAATCTAGGCCTGTGGTAGGTTCATCACAGAATAGAAGAGGAGGATCTGTGAGTAACTGAAATGAGGGTGTACATACACTTGAGGCAACGAATCATTACACATGTAGTCAATAAAATAGGCGATAAAAACACACCTTACGGTATATCTCTCTTCTACAAACGAAGACAAAACAATCAACTTTTGCAATAAACCAGAGAAAGCCCTTGATTGAATTGAAGCCTGCACTAGGTACGTCGGAGATAGCTATACAAACGTTGGTCGAAGTCGAACAAATTTAGCAAATAATGACGTATTGCTGACGTTTGTCAGTTCAATGTTGTTCATTATGAGATATAAAGTCTTACATACTTCACAAATATATCTCAATTATAAATTTTAACCTTAAATTGGGAAGTGTTATGTGGTATGTTACACATACTGGTCGATACAAATTCCCAGATATCGAAGTAAAATATAAAATATAAGGTATTTACACAAATTAATCTAAAAGAGTACCATGCAGTTACCTTCAAATGAATTCTCAAGGTAAAAACGAAACTTCATCAAAATGATAGGTTTTGCGGGGCAGTAGTCACGTCAAAGAATGTAAACTTACATGTCGGGAGATAACTGTGTCAAATATATATTTTGAGTTTGTTGACCGAGGTCTACAGGTCTTCATGCCTAACGTTTCGTCTACGACTGCAGTAGACTATATTAAGAGTGATGATGCAGCGGACGAAATGTTCTGGTTGTCCTGATACTACGAACTTGGTTCAGCTCTTTGGTTTTATTTAATTGTTGATGAACGTGATTTCTTTTCTAGTGATTGAAAAAAATGACTTGATACGATAGCAAATTGAGTGCAGTAGCTGAATTTCTATCAAATAGTCTATACTATAACAATTTTCAATTGAAGGTGATTCATTAGCAACGTCGCACTTGAATTGACCAACGGAAAATCCTCCTACCAACTCTGCAGAGGCGTACCAAAATAATATTTTTATTTATTTAAACACATAGGTAGTTACGTAAAAATTGTTATAGTAGGTGGTGCTACCTGGTGTCAATGGTAAAACTGATAACATTTTCTTATTGTGCCTAATACAGTACTTCAAAAAACAGAAAAATTTACAAAATAATTATTATGTTCCTTTTATATAGAAAGAGAACTACAAGGCAGAGAAATAATTACCTATGTTATGCTTATGAAGTTTCAGAATCCATTGAGTCGTCCGAAGAGGAATCCCCAGTCACACTTAAATCTGTTATTATTTGGTCGAAAACAGTGTCTACCATCCCGTCCAATCTCCACATTTTCTCTTCTTCCTTGATCACATGGGCTACAGCATTAGCCCAATCTTCTTTCCGTATCCGTTCCATTGCGAATTCTAATAAACGTTGAACATCAGAGATTTTATATGTCACGTTTCCACGAGCTACGTAACCCTTAATTTGAGCCCAGATTAATTCTATCGGGTTTAACTTGTAATGGAAAGGAGGAAGTCTCAAAATGATGCTGCCTTCAGCACGAGCTATTGTATCCACCACATGCTGGCGATATCTGTCACGAAGCTGTTCAATGACACTCATAAGCTCGGCCTTAACCATGTCCTCGGAAAATGGAATTCCTTTTTGTCCTAACCAACTCTGCATGTCTGCTTTTCTGGTGGTCGTAGTTGGCAGCTGTTCCACTAATCGGCTGTGATAAGAAGCGTTATCCATTACTATTACCGAATTTGGCTCGACTCGTGAAAGAAGAGATTCAAAGCATCCTTCAAAGCGTTGGGCATCCATGTCCATGTCCATGTGATAATCCCTCGTTTTTTTTTGATAAAAAAATGTGTGCACTATCGTCTAAAAAGCCACTCTCGCTACCTGTATGGGCGACAGTTAGTCGTTGCCCTTTACCCGTTGGTCCGCGTAACCCTGTTGATAAACCGTCCACAAAAGCTTGACGATAACTAGTTAGTTATCTTGCCAGATCTTACATACTGCGTGACCAGCATTCACCCACGTTTCGTCCAGATAATAAATCTTTTTGTGAGCAGAACGCATTCCTCTAATAGAGCAAAGATATCTCTGTCGCCATGAGACTATATCTTCTCTTTCTATTAAGACAAACTTACGGGATCGTTTGGCATAAATAAATTTTAAATCTTCTTTTATTATTTTCCTTAACTTCTCTTTGCTCATTGTTGGAATGAGATCATTATCCATTACCTTTGTCCTAATGGATTCGAGGGTTGGCGCTTTATTCTCAAAAAAGAAAGAATGAATGGTATAGCGTACAAAATTTTTCTGGTACTCGTCCAATTTAATTTTTTTTCTACCACGTCAATGTACTTCTTTAGCTTGCACAATCCCAGTCACCTTTTTTTCACGTACAATGCGTTCAATTGTCGACATGGATATTCCCGTTAAAGATGAACACTGGGCTACAGCTTCCACTGTACGGAGTGTATTTTTTAAATTTTCGTACACTCTACAGACAATCTGTTTTTCTTCTAACGACATAAGCTTCCGCTATCTTTGTACATTACTTGGACCTGCTACGGCATCCATCTTAATACTATAAAAATAATAAAATTCAATCATATTATTCAACTATTTGTCAATTGTTTACTTACCTCGAAAACTATTTTAAAGTTGATGATTTTGAAAAACACTTTATTGTGAGATTTTCACTAGAACAGATTAACAAATCCGCAAAACGTGTTTCGCTGCACAGTAACTTTTTCAAGCGTGTTCACTAACAAACTAAATTCTGCATACATTGTGATTTATATATTCTTTTTGAAATATTACTATCTACCTAGAAACTAATAATATTCTAGGAACTAATTAATAACGGTTTTACATGAGTTTAACGAACATTTATGCCTGAGTTTAATGACTAGGTCAACTAATTATCTCACAATAAAGTGTGAATGTGATGAAAATATATGATAATGTATTTTGAAAAATAAGTATCGGCCAACTCTATCAATTTGTATATGAGTTACCTTCAATTGAAAATTGTCAGACTATAGGATAATAACTTTGAATTCTATCCATCTCTTCGAACACGATGAAGTGGATAATTCCTCTGAGTGATCAACTATTATTCATCACTCGGTATCGTCCCAGGCGACAATCTCCATTGTGTTCATGTTGCCGGGTACGTACACTTCTCATGCCATATGTGAATGACGTTATTGATGGGGGTCGAGAGAGTTCCGAAAAAACACAACGTGAAATCTATATTCTGGTCAACGAAAACCATTGCCAAGGGTCAACCGGGTCAACCGACGACCCCAAAAGGCTTTTAACACTACCGTGGATTTACCGGATTCCTTGGATCAGTTTTCATTGGAACCAGGAAGAAACTCAAGGGAAGTTGTCGTCTGGCACATTCCGACCAATCAGCATGCGGAACAAGAACTTAGAGAAGGCACTCACTTTATTGCGTTCGAAGAGATCCAAGTGCTCCATGGTATATAGAGATAGTACCGTAGACTGCATAGAAAGGTGCTAGAAATTCTGGAACACAAAAATCCACGCTAGAGAAAGAGAAAATTGGCAATGAAATATGAAATCAGTTGCTCTTGGTCGGTGGGTTGACTGTCCTTGTTCATCTTTCACTGCCTGAACCACTGTGCATGCTGTTTTCGGCGAGCGCATTGGCTTGGGATATGAGGGTTGAGCAAACCGTCATCGGATGCCTGCTTCCACGTAGCCCCGCTGGATACGGGAATGACAGAATCACTTGTGGTGATTTTACGACTCCAACTAACCTCCCTGTAAATTTGGTTCAGGAGTGAGTCTACAGGGGAGATGGATGTCGAGTTTACGACTCCAACCGACCTCCCTGTAAATTTAGTTCAGTAGCGAGTCTACATAGGAGATGAATGTCGAGTTTACGACTCCAACTGACCTCCCTGTACATTTAGTTCAGGAGCGAGTATACAGAGGAGATGGATGTCGAGTTTACGACTCCAACTGTCCGCCCTGTAAGTTTAGTTCAGGAGTTGAACTAAACTAAATTTAGTAAATTTAGTTTAGTTCAACTCCCCAACTCCTGATCCAATAATTGAACCTTAAAAAAAAGGTTTGGTGGTGCAGCCAGGAAACGACTGAGTCGTCTCCTCAAGAGCGGAGTACCTTATAAAACTGCCTTTCACCAAATTATTGAGCGGCGTACGCAGAATCTATCTCAGGTGGGGGAACAAACCCTCCTTGAGCAGGTTAGCAAACATTTGCGCTCAAAACCAGAGGCGAAAAAGCCCTGCACGGCTGAATCTAAGGCATCGTCAGGTGTAGCTGACGTGCAAAATCCCTCATATGGAAAGGTTGTCGTGGGTATCAAGGTGGGAATATTGCAACTTAACTATCCGGCTGTCTCATTAACAAAGCATATACTTTGTGCCTGCCCCGCTGGGGACCGAATCAGCTCTTTAGATCTGACCTGAAAGACCACTCACCATACAAACTAGTCGGCTTTGTTGAAAAGCTGGGTTTATTTGGCTGAGTGTGAATAGGTGTGAGCCACAATAAACCCTTGGGGGTTGCGGTGGAGGGTCAAATAGACCCACTCTCTTTAGACCTAACCTAACATAACCTAACAAATGTGTTTGGTCAAATGCAGTGTTCAGTAAATTTCTATATTAATTTTACCTCTACGGCGAAGGCAAGTCGTTTTTTCTCTCCTCCGGACAAGGCTTTATTTTCATCAATACCTCCTATTCTACTATTTATGCAACTCGACAAGCCAAGTTGTTTGAGCAGATCGGAGATTTTTCTTCTTTTCTCCGAACTTTTGATCCGCCTGTCTAGCTTGAGGTTAGCCTGAAATCGATATAAACTTGAGCTCAGTAGAACTACTGCATAAATGCACGAATGTGAATATAACTAAATTTATTGTTTTCACCAATTTGGGGTAGCACTGGAGGGTCTATTGAGGGATTATTGACATTTTCACAAGATGAAATATTTTGTTTCGTATTCAAGAATTCTTGATTGATTTTCATGTTCATTATTTTTACTAAATGATAATGACGCCAAGTATAGAAATTGTATGAATAGGTACAGTATTTTGACCATTACACGTTGTTTTAAATATACTCACTTTGTCAGCTTTGAAGCAATTTAATACAAAATTACTGACACTGAATAAATAGGCATAAATCAAGTCTTCTCTCTTATTATGCCTTGTACTGAAAATATGAGTGGAAATTTCAAATGCTGAGATTTGAATTCGGGATGGTGTATGAAATGGAGAAAAGTTAAAAAAGAAAGAATGAATTGAACATATAGAATAATGAAATAATGTGCAAATAAAGATAATTCAAATCAACGTGATGTAAAAACTATTTGGGAATTTGATTCAAAATAAAGTACATAAATTTGAATTCAACTCGCAACTACCTGCATAAGGTGTTTGATATTTGGAACTCTATTTTGAACTTTGAATGAAGGGAAGATCAAAATGTTTCTTCCAAAAAAATTTTGGTTATCAAAGCAGTCAAAACTTTACGTACGAACAAATATTGTGAACAAGCATACAGGATACCAAATGGCGGCATAGCATTTCACTTTCGATACAAAATAATAGGGTTATTTTGAAGATGTGTATTTTTCAATGTCAAATGATAATTTCACTTTTTCTTCCAATGTATTACAATACTCGAAAACAATTTTTTCGAATTTTCCAAATGGAATACTCTATATTTACGTCATACCATTATATTCATGTGTTCTCTGACAGTAAGGCAGGGTACAAATATGTCATCTTGATGCATGTAACCGCTCAAAAATTTCATATAATCTCCTATTGGTCTTCCGTTGATTAGAATATCTCCTTCAATATCCATTCCACCTAGAAAAAATATATTATTTCACATATATACAATCAAGGGTTTTGAAGTTGACTTGCCTCGCGTCCTATAGGCCAATGCCGACATCAATGTACTTTTACCGGCTCCACTGAAACAGATCATTTTACATTTCATAGTTGTGAGGATTAAGAAAATAACTTTCTTTGTTCTTGTATCCCTTTTTATATGATTCTAATACCGGTTTCCAGTTTCCACGTCAAAAATCAGACCCTTGGTCTGAGAAAAACTGTTTCAATCCATACGACTTTTTTCAAAGAAATGGAATCAAGAGTTGAACTTAAAATTTATATTGACGCAGACACCAAATTTCATAACTACAAAAATGAAAATATTCATAATTATTATATATTATGTCTCAGTAATTTGAAACCATGTGGAAAAATTGTATGATTAAGTTTAGGGCAAACACATATATTTCTCATAAGAAGTTATGCAAAGACTCACACTCGAAATGCATTAACTGGTTTTCAAATTTTTTCAGTAAATCACAGGGTTCGTATGAATTTTGTTCAAGGAAACTACCTTTAAGAACATAAAATCACTTTCAAATATGTAATTACAATAATTTACTATGAAAACATCAGTTCACTTATTTTTCCAATTCTACTTCAATAATCAATTCTTATGTATTTTATAAATTCTTACGCGTTTATTCGTTCACTGTTAAATAGTTCATGAGTGCATCCTAAATTACATAATAATCTTAGTTGAGTTTTTTGCTGTAGAGATATATTTCGAGAAATAAAAACAATATCGTTAATTATTGCACCATGATCAACTTTTTCCAATAAATATTGTCATGAATACATTTTTTTTGATCCTGAGCGGAATTCATATTTTTTAACAAACCTCGTATACGACTGAAATCAATTGATAACTGATTGTTCATTTTAAAGAATAATGTTTTTTTCCTGAAATCAATAATAAAAAGTAACTGATAAAATGATACCAAGTTAGTGAGACACTAGATTGTAGTATATTTGCATATCTGTGCAAACTTTTAAAATTACTTCTTATATATTCTGAATTTTCACAGCACCGCTAACTGAAAATAAAAAATAATAGGTTAACCATAAGCTGTTGGCAAATAATTGAAAATTGAGAATGGTTGTGTTCCATTAAGTTATTCTCGCTAGGATTTAGAGGAAATGTACTTCTATTGACTGGAGTCATATTTGATTCTTAGAAAGATGTGCGTGAAATATGATGACTGCCAATCACAATCATACAGTAATGAATATGGAGTCCCTCAGAGATTCATTTTGGGACCTCTGATGTCCTACTTTTCATCAATGATATGCCAAAACATGTGAATACAAACCGAATAATTTTATATGCAGACGACACAACACTTGCTGCAGATGCTGAAAGCCCGGAGGAACTCCAAGTTAAACTCAATGAGCTGTCTGTCGCATTTACAGATTGGTTGTAAACCCCAGTAAGACTGTTTCAATTCAGTTCTACTCTAGAACTGTCAGGAAAATTACCGATTTTCGAGTCAGAGTCACTAGTCGTGATGTGATTTCGTCAGACAATACTAAATTCCTTGGTAGCTATGTTGATAGTAACATGACTTGGGAGTCAGCTGTGAGTGGCAGATTACAGCCGGTTCTGGGCCTCCCCCCACCACAATGACGTATCAATTGTTTTTTTTGTTGTTGTTTAGTAACATCAAGGCGATGTGACCTTGAAGGGTCTGGTGCAGGGATCGTTCAGAATTTTTTTTTATATGAAATTTGTATGTGTGTGTGACATAGTGACGTATTTACATTTGATTGGTGTGTATGAGAATGCACGGTACAGGATTCCATCATGTGCTTGTCTATGTACAAACATATGTCTGCATACTTCGAAGATCCTTCAAGTAATGAATGTTCCATCGGTGTGAGCCCACCAAGTTAGTAGTGGTGTGACGTCACAGCAGCAACCGTTCAACGGTAAGAGAGCAAGATGTTCACTCCACGACGTGTGGCTGAGTAATGCGTATTCATCGGTGTGCCCTCACCTCTCTCGATGCGGTGAAGGCTGTGACGTAACGCATCGCTCTAGCCTCGCTATCGATGGTGACACGCAGGCGGCCGAGGACTGTCTGCCTAACGTCTGCCCTCTACAAGAGCGCAACGACCACTGCCTGTTCGTATCGACATCTGTTATCGCATTCAGTTTCTTACCAAATAATGTAGTCGACTTCGTTAAGAAGCTGAATGTATTTGGTTGAGTTTCAGTAGGTTTGAGCCACAATACAGGGTCGAATGGACCAACTCACTTAGGACTCATCTACCAACTTACTTACCTGAATAGGGGCAATGATCAAAGGCCTATCTTCTTAATTATCTGTTTTCTCTTAATAGTCTGTCTGGTTCTCTGTGCCTACCCAACCGCGGACCGAATCAGGTTTGCAGCGGTTGGCAAAGTACAAATCTTGCCAGCTGGATTGATTTACTTGAGTTTCAATAGGTTCGAGCTGCAGTTTACCCTGTCAGATTGCAATAAAGGGTCGAATAGACCAACTCATTTAGGACTCATCTACCAAGTTACTGACGTGAATGGGGTAGATTACAATTATGTGAATAATTATTTCAAATAATTAGAACTTGTACGATATATCACGATTATGATTCAATCGGGAGAATATAAATTGTTGAATAATCTCATAATTCGGTGTAAAACTTCAAAACTACATCAGGAATTAGATATAATCACCTGGAGAAACCAAATCAGTCACAAATACTTCAACTTATGATAAGCTCATAAATGATTTCAATAACTCGAGTTAACTCAAGAACTGAAGAAGATTTTGAAAAGTCACATTGGCATTTCTTCAATAGTACGGCAACAATCAAAGGCTATGTTCTTAATTATCTCTTTTTTCCTAATAGGCAGTCTTTTCTGCGAATTGTGCGAAAAGCCACATGATGAAAAAATGAGATGAACTTTCATTCAGGAAAGCAAGCTATGGTTTACCAATATAGTCGATTATCCCTGAAAGGATAACAATATCGCTATCTGACGTCAAAGAACTGGTCTCCATGAAACTGATCAACTGTTAAGGGTGATGTACGACTACAAGTAACCCCTTTTAATTTAAACATGGAAATTTCAAAATCTACAGAAATTATTCATTCTGCAAAATGGATTCTTAATTTCTTAAATCCTAAGTTTGTGGGTTTTAATGAAATTTCGAAATGTTTTGTGAAAAATCAAGAATTTTGTGAAATATGAAAAGGCCCGTGACCATTTATTTTCCATTATTATGCCTGATTTGCAATGATGTGACTCGATAGAGTTAGTTACTCACTCAAACTGTTTATCTGTTTAAAATCTGTTCAAAATCTGTTTTTCTGTTAACCAGCTGTCGCACCCCTAGGGACGACAACCCTCAGAAGTCGAAACTTGTGCAAGCTAAGGATTAAGTAGGTCTTACCTTTCAACGTGTGATTCATTTTTGAGAAAATGGTTTCACTCATGTGTAGTGTTATACATTGGGTTGAAGATATGGAAAGTCAGTGTGGAAAAATCGAAAACCGTATAAAATGCGAAATCGGTTGAATGGGCAATGTTCCTCCTGACGAAAATCAAGTAGTTTTCATAAAAGAGCTCTAAAATAACACATTTCAAACTTATCATTTCAACCTTTTTCTTCAAAAAATTATTTAAATACTTAAGAAAGAGGAATAAAATAATGTATCAACATTTAAAGATGTTCGTTTCTATTTCACCATTTGGCAACATCGGTTATAGCTGATAAAGCACAATGAATCTGTTACCTGTATGAGACATATTACAGTTTGTGCACCTAACCTATCTTCCGCTATATATAAATAACAAAACAACTGTTGTTTATGGGGCTTGTGGAGATGGTATTGAACTATAATTTATATTTTGCCTTAATTGTTGATTTATAAAGATAATTTTCCTTTTTTAAAGTAGAATATCTAGGGACGTATAAATTATTTTAACTTGATATAGGCGGTGTTGCCAATATGTGAATTAGAAACAAATCCCTTTAAAAATTGAAAGCCAACATTTGAAATATCAATTTGAATACTTTTCGAAGTGAATTTGAAAAACTCATGAATTAAACTCAACTTTATTTTGTTCAAACTTGCATTTGCTGTAATAACCCAAATTGAGTAGCATTCCCCCTTGGGAGAATGTTGTCCATTAGAGAGCTTATTTGACTGACGTTTCAAAATTTGGAAAATTTTGATTATGTGTAATACATCTCTGTAGTTGTTGCCAAAGTGGTGAACTTATACTGGGTGAATCTGTTTTCTTGGGGATGAGACGACGGACTAAAAATATATGGAACTCATCCTGAACAGCTTGGAAATGGCAATTTGAAAGTGGTTTTTGCTTTTGATATCTCCCTGAATAACGTCAGAGAAAAATTAAAACTAAATTGGCTTTTCGAATATCTCCGGAACTAATATGAATTTTCAATAAGGTCCGAAATGGGCGATATTTCCTAAATCATCATTCATGGTCTTCAATTTTTCCATGCTATCCCCTCTTATCTGGGACAGACAGCTGAACGAAATTGAAGTTTTTCAGTTGATCAACCCATTTCGATATCATTGTTCGATCAAATGGATTGATTTCAATTTGAACAATGATCAAATTCAAAAATCAAAAAGTAATATATCAACACTTCAAGTCTGTTCAACTACTAGAAGAATCTTTGAATCATTTTTCATTTTTATTTGTGGCAGTTGTTTGGTTTCCGCTGTGCTACAAAGACAAAACGAACTTTAAAAAGATGAAGTATACTAACAGCATTTTAATATAATATAAAAGTAATTTCCTACCTCCATTTATAATCCTTTTGTTAATCTTCCTTCCACCCTTCTCAACCTCGGCGGAAACTGAGAGATTATTCCAGGCTAATGTTACTCCTTCATCTGTTGGAGACCATCTTGAATATGTTCTTTTTCTTCTCCGGACAGATTCTATAGAACTCGTCATCTCCAGAGAATCCTATATTAAAGTAATGATTTTAACTATAACATTTACTGTTATCCCCAAGAAATGTGAAAAATTTTCAACGCTTTCTACGTCTACTCCATCTTCATATACGTAAAAAAATTTATAAATCTTCCAGAAAAAAGAAAAAAATAACAATTGAAATAAACTTTTGAAAAGATGTGTAGATCATGCAAAGAAGTAACTTCCAGACTGAAACTGGAAGGAAAAATCCCCTTGAAACAACTACTTTCATTGAAACATCGAATTGCACTTAAGAAACACCTACAAAAACACTTTTTCTATTGAGTTGTGTAGATATCCTGATTCAATTCCATAACGAATGTTTGCAATACCAACCAAAAAGAAAAAAGTGTTTTTTGTATAATTCAATGTTCATAAAAAAAGTAGTTGTTCCGAAAGTAATTTTTCTTTCATTTAATTCCATGTTCATTTGAAATTAGTTGTTCTGAGAGGGATTTTTTTTACAGTTTGTGTGTAAAAGTTACTTCGCTGCATGATCAACACATCTTTTTGAATATATATGATGGAATTGGCTGATACTTGATAGAAATCTATTACTAAAAACGCAACTCGTGTTTCGTCGAAGAAGCCATTGTGTGGCAAAACACGTGTTGCGTTTTTCTAAAACTGTGAAAATACAAAGTGTTTTTTTAAATAACCTTTGTAAAGAGTTTATTTCGAAATTTATTGCTTTTTTTTCTGGAAGATTTCCACAATTTTTTATTCCACCTTCAAACAATAGTCATTTTTCACTTTGAAAAAATGTATTCATATTCAAATTATTATTTTTCAACCGTCATAATAAATCGTATCACTCTCTATATTCTATAAAATATAATTCCAACGGTAAACTGAAATTCAATAGGAATGAAATTATATTGCAAAATAATACGCTGTGGTTAGATCACATGACATTGGGAATGCCAATAATGTTGTTAAATAATACTTCGATTTAGTTTTTAAAATAATTATTTGAATTTGAATTGAATGATTTATAAGCAATAATATATTAACATTTTCAAGTGGGCGATAAGAAGATTTGTGATTGAAGGATGCCTGATTTCTTATCATAAAAATTATTATTTTTTCCAGTTTTCACAATAAGTCACTTTACAGGGTATAACAAAATGGTAGGTCATAAATTAAACCACATTTTTTGAGGTCATGAATAACTCAGTTGGCTATAACATACCCCAAAAAGTTACAGCTCTTGAAAAGTACAAAATGAACATTGATTTTTCCAATATTACTTGAACTGGCTTTCTTATTGTATGAGCATCATTTGCATGCAAAACCACGGAATCTGTTCAGCCGATAGGAATTTTGGGTGGGTATTAAACCCCTAAAACCCACCAAACTTTTCTAGGCGTTATAAGTAAATTAGTATTGTGACGCCACTGGTTAATTACAGCAATTTTTGGAATCTTTTTGTCACTTTGCACTATTTCGAAAGGTCAGTTTTTATCGAGATGTAGACTCTTTTCAGTTATCCTTCAGAAATTCTATAGTTGGCGGTTCAATACTTCTAGTGTTGATAAATAACAAATAGTTGCTTCAATAATTACATAATGTCATTCGTTACACCATTGGTTCAATAAATCATTTGTATTTTTTACCTCTTAGCAATTTTTCGACAAGCCTGTTTTTATGCAGCAAAAGTTATGAGTAAGTTATAATAACTGATATTAATGTTATTTGCAGGTGCAAAAATTATGCACAAATATGTGGTATTTCCTGAAATAAATACTCAAAATGACTTTCGTTTTCCGAAATATACATTCGGCACCATTTTAAAAAGGAAAACCAAATTTTTTGGAAGATCATAGGCTACTGACGAAATCGATTTATACTTTCAATGATTTGATGACACAGTTGTTGTTCGCTGATTATTTCAACAGAATACACGTCCTCATTTATAAAACCCCGTCTTGTAAATACCACATGTTTTGCCTTATTCCTAAATTTATCTCTTTCAAGTATTCTCGTAAATCATTTTGTAAGAACTGTAATTGATTTGCACCATTCTAATTATTTGGAAGAAATCTTGAATAAATTATTATTCACTATGCCTGCCCAAACATTGACTTCAAAAGCCTTTTGGTGGTGATTTTTTTTGTGTGGGGGGTTTTCTTCGGCCTATATGAGTGCGTTATGGTGATTCGTAATGCCATTTCTATTGAAGGTAGCTCCAAAGGTAAAGGAAATATGATTAATCAATTTATTATTTTGATTGTTTTCTATTAAGAATCATCTACAAAATTCTATTTTCTAAAGATAATCTCCTTCTAGTAGGTAATTCTTGAACGGTTGTTAAGCAGTAGGGATGAAGCTGCTGCTCAACAACGACGATCAATGGAAAGAAATGATCGACTGTTTGCTGGGATATTTTTCCGCATAACGCCTTGCAGCTGCTGCACTACTCCCTTGGCATTCACCTACGACTACTAGAATTTACAGATAATTATCTGAAACCTTGTATCAGCCTTACCAAACTTACCCAGAATTAAACGCATATCTGCCATTTCTGCAAACTTATAAACCATTGTACCAAACAGTTTAATTTTTCTCAACACTCTCAAAATGCGCAATAATCGAAAGCTTTAATTGACACTATGTATTTGTTGAAGCAACTGTTTGTTATTTATCCATAGGAACTGCAAGTGTTGAACAGCCAACTAATGCATTTTTAAAGGATAGTAAGTAAGAGCCTGGATCTCGATATGAACTATCTTTTCGAAAATGAGCTACGTACATGGTGAACAAATTCAAAAATGATGTTTTGAACCTTTGGTGTCATAATATTAATTTAATTTCAACCCATTGAAGAGTTTGGTGGGTTTAGGGGTTCAAAACTCCCCCTAAAATGTTTATGGTCTCGAGAGACTTCATGGTTTCATATGAAAAATATGCTCTTACTATTAGGAAGCCATGGATCCATTATCACTACAAAATATTAATGAAACATTGGGAAGAATCGAATTTCATGTTGTACTTCCCAAGGGATGTAACTTTTGCTGTGTGCACATTTGTATTATGGTAAGTTATATCCAATCGAGTTATTTTCGACCCCAGAATATGTAGTTCAGATGATGACCTACCTTTTTGTTACACCCTGTATTTTTCCTTAAGGAAAATGTTATTGGTGTTGTTATTATGAATAAGCATCATTGAATTTTTGAATTTTATTGAAAGATAAAATATATAAGACCAGTTTCTCTTTGATATAATATTTTTTTTCAGGAGTATATTTATGTTACCGCAGTAGATTATGGAAGCGTAGTTGATTAAAGTTATCATAACAATTTTTATTTTTTTCAGACATAGAGGCGAAGATAACCAAAAATTTAAATATCTCTCAACTAATTATTATGGAAAATATCATGTTGAAGTGATTGAACAAGTTTCACGAAAAACCTATTATATTTTTCATCTGCTTGAATTTAGAAAATTCTCATTAGTAGATGGGTAAATATAACATTCGATAATAATATTTCTCTCTTAGAAATAGTATAGATTGATAACTCAAAAGTTACTTGTACTCACATTTGAATCAGGAGACCCATTTGACCGAAACAAAACCATCGTTTCTTTCTGTTCACTATTAGTATCATCCATTATGTGTAATGAAGTTTCATAATCACTATTTCACTTAACATTTGAAAAAATACCTACAAGATAGCTGGTTTAAATAACCATATCTAAATATCTCAGCGGTGTAAATATTGCTTCAAAATATTTGAAACAAAGTAAATAGAATTCGAGCCATTTTTTGTTTGTTCACTGAAGCCACAGCAGCTCTTTACTAGGGAAATATTGGCTGTAATAATCAGGAACTTTGTAATTCGACACTAGTTTCCCCTACTTCGTTTGTAATAGTCAAGAGGATCAAATTCAATAGGATCTGAGTGGAAATCTATCTATATTCCTTACGCATGAATAATTCACGTGTTAATGTCATTGCATAATCGGCATTCAGTAAAATGTGGAGGTTATGAAAAACATCTCATTAGTTATTGAATCGAAGCTACACATGAATTTAATTTCTGAAAATAATAGAAGAGATCAGTTTTTAGAAGTTTCTCACAATTTTTTGTATGATGATTGAGAAATGAGAGCCAAAGCTTTTTCCATGAAAATATTTGTTTTTGTTGAACCTAGAAAAAACTTACCCGATTCTGTTTCAACTACCTAAAATCTGTAATAATAAAAAACTCACATCTATATTACATTGCGTACTTATATTGATGGTATGATAAATGATTTCATAAAAACTCATAACTCATACATGTAACTCATGTATAATACAAAAAAAATCTGAACAATCTCGCATCGATATAGATGTTCCGTAGAGTTCCGTGTTAGGACCGATATTGTTTCCGTTCTATACCAATGATTTAGATTGAATTGCAGAGAGTGCTACCTTCATAAAGTTCGCTGATGATACATCGGAAATTATCAGTGAAAAAACTGATGGAAAACGTCGAGTCAACAAAGTTTTTGGAGGTCATTAGTGATGAATATTTCAGCTGGACAAACCATTGTAATTTGATGGTCAGGGAACTTAAGAACAAAATTGTCCCAGTCTCAGATGATACAAGTCCATCACCCTCAAGCCGAATCACGTCTAAGATATGGTATAGTCGAAGTAAACGATATTGTGCACACTTAAAGTTGGCGGCACTCTCAAAGGCCAAAACCACCAATACATGAAAATGAACCGGCTGCGAACTAGTCCACGTGGACTATAGAATTTGCGGTTTGTATTGGATAATTTTTTACTAACCGAGTCATAAAATTTAATTTGAAGTCATGTTATGGTGACGAATAGAAATTAGGGAATGCGGGTATGGTTATCGCCGTCGGGTCATTAATGTTCAGTTCAGAAACTGATCGCGATTTGAATGTTGAAATTTGATATTGGTGTAGCTATAACTACTTGAAATTTTTGTTATCTGTTAAAAATGTGGCGTCTTTGGACAAGTACTAATAGTAATAATGAGTGTGATAACAACGCAGACTTTTTCCGGTGTTGTGATTCCAAAAGCGATGGTGACCAATGTGAAAAAGAGATACCAGTGAATAAGATTCGGATGCATTTAAATATTGAAACACAGAGAGTATGTTTCAATGTAGGTATATAAAATTCTACATCTCAAATTTGGTTTCGAGGGAAATAAACTATTACAAGCAACATTAGATTTGATCGAAATTCCTTTCTCAACTGTACGTAAAATAGTCAAAAACAAACCTTATGAACGCAAGACGCGATGTTATACAGGATTATACTATCAGAAGAACATGGAAGCATAATTTTCGAGGAATGATTTGAAAACACATTGATCCCAAATTTGGATGCGAATAGTGAAATAGTTTTTGACACCGCTTCCTATCATTCGCGACAGCTCATCAAAGTACGAAATAAAAATTCGAGAAAAGATGAAATACAGTTTCTCAATGGATAACAATTTGTATTTTGAAGAATACTACTTGAAGTTTTACATACAAAAACATTTGAAAAAGTGTATGCTCTTGAGAGTATTGCTGGAAAGTATGGACCCACCATACTGAGACTTCCCCCCTATTTTTGTGTTTTCAATCCCAACTAGTTGATTTGGGGAAAATTGAAACAAAGCATCAGGCGTAAAAATAATTTTCCAAAATTTGTTAAGAAGGTAATAGAGAAAAAAAATTGTTTGGCTTTTTACTACTCCATCTTGATAGAGAAAAATGTGGGAATATTCCAAAGAAAGGAAGAAAGTAATCAAGATGGAGTAGTAGAAAGCCAAAAACTTTCTTTCCCAAACATTAGTCACTCCTAAAAATATAACCCTTTCAAATTAAGCTAATAGATCTAATTCAAGAAGAGGTATCCAATATTACTGAAGAAGACTGGCAGAAAAGGATTAAAAAAGTAATTTTAGTTGAAAAAGACTATATGGAGATTGGACACCAATATTGATGGTGAAAATCAATTCCTTATTTATTTAAATGACGTTAGTGAAACAGATGATATGTGAGAGGAATTATTAGAAGCTTTTGAAGAAAGTTAGTGAAGTGTTTTTGAAGCGATCGATTGTATGTACCTATATGTGGGTAAGAAGTACTCAGAAGTATTTTCAATTATCACCGTTATTTGAATTCCTACTTTTCCACTCACCGATATAAACGAAATATTTATTGTATATATTTTTAATATATATATCACTCTAAATTTGTTATAGTTTGTTTGATTGTTCTGTGTTTTTATTCCTAATTCCTAATAAGGTTTTATTATTACTGTTTCGAACTGTAGTCTGTACATCCTGGAAATGAATTATTTAAATCATTATAATAAATAATGTATTTGCAGAACGATTTTTTTGTTGAAAAAATGCAGTTCAAAACTTCATAATTCATAGTATTCCTTTTCAAGTTAATCCTTTTGAAATTCATCTGAATGCTGTATAATTAACAAAATATTTGAACCCATGTCCACATCAACGAGTAAAATCTAGGTGAATCATAATTTATTATTGTGATATCCAGTCCATACATCATTTACTCCATAGAAGGGTTGATTTGTAGAACTTTTTTTTGTTAAAAAACTTTTTTTTAAACATTTTTTATTGTCTCCTCCTGTTTGGAACGTATTCGTTGTTTGAATCAATAACTTCCACACAGACAGTGTAGTTTTTCTTCATAATAAGTTTCTTCAAATCCATGTTTCGGATCTTTCCAAAGTTTTGTGTGTCTTTTCCCATTTTCCATGATGGTCAAACGGGAAAAACTTTCCCCAAAAAGATGAAATACTTTCGAATGAGGCTCATTCAATAATATTTGTAAAATATTTTATACCACGTTCGTACGAGAAAGGTATCATTTATAATGCTTCAGATTTATAATCTGAACATTTGCCTTTGTGATCTTGTTATGGTAGAAAATGTCTACGAAAACCCAACAAATATTCATTATTTCCGCATTTCTGACTTAGATGTAATTATCGCATCTAGAATGATTATTATTCAAGAATAATCAGGTACATAATTATAATTTTACGCTACAAAAATAAATATTTCAAATAGATTTTCGAAAATTTTACCCCACTCAATTATTCTACACAGTAGGATAAGTCATTAAACTAATTTGATTTATATCAAAAGATAGAACCGTAACATATGACGTAGAATAAATCTAAAACAAAAACTTTTCCCAATCACCAGAACTGCAATACTCTTTTCGACATGCGTTAGCGAATGAGTTCACATGTTGTTATCAACAACTTCGGTTTCAGACGCCTCTGACCAACAAACTAAACAAGGTAAACAGCTGAAACTGTTTAGCATGTTTGGTTTGTTGGTGAGAGGCATGAAAGTTGAAAGTGTTTTGCGTGTTCGGCGATTTTTTGCTATAAAAAAAAGTGGATCAGAAAATTTGCATCAAATTTTGTGTAAAAAATGGAAATATGTGTTCAAAAACACTTGAAATGTTGACAGTGGGTTACGATGATTGTACTCTGAGTCAGAAACATGTTCACAACTGGTATAAGTTCAGTTCGATCATCTGTCGAAATTTAGCTTATTTTTTCTACGATTATCGTGGCGTGGTGCATCAGAAATTCTTACCACATGGTCGTTGAATCAATAAGTACCAATCAAAACTACTTCGAGGATTGGAAAAAACGCTGGTGTATTATATCTCAGGTGGAAGACTTTGTAGAAATCAAAACAGAATTTGATGAATAAATGAATAGTTTTTAAAAAATATATAAATTAACCTTATTTTTTGGGAGAATTCATTGCACTGTGAGTGATGTTACTAGGTGCAATACTAGGGAGAGCTGGAATCCGCCAAGTTCCAATGATTACATTCAGTTCCAAAAATTGCAATTTCATAGGAACTACCAATTCGAGTCCAACATAATTTTCAAATTTCTTCATATCCAGAGAATTCTTGATTTTGACTCATATGTTATGTAATAGTGAAAACTATATAAATGGTGGTTCTTCTGCTGACAACCCAATTTCATTTTATCATATTTCAGTATCTATATCCATTTTCTATACCTAACAAATCATGGAAACGTTTCTTGGCTGCACCACAAAACCTTCTTTTTTATGTTCAGTTATTGGATCAGGAGTTGGAGATTTGAGAAGCTCTCGCTCCTGAACTAAATTTACAGGGAGTTCAGTTGGAGTCGTAAACTCAACATCCATCTTCTTTGTAGATTCGCTCCTGAACTAAATTAACAGGGAGGTCAGTTGGAGTCGTACATTACCATTCCAGTACCATCAAACCCAATTTGAAATAATCATCCATATCTAACGGTTGAAGATCATACCACGACTGATTTCAGATATGTTTTTTATTACAAAAGAAAATGAAAAAATGTTATCCATAATTATTACTTTTACATAGAAATTCAAAACGCTATTGAATGTATTTTTTCAGTAAAATAAATATTGTCACTATTCACATTTCAATCTCAGGAACTTTATAGAAAATTAACTCATTTATCAAAGCACCTATGTCATAGAGTCAACCAAGCAATCACTACCATTTCCATTAGATTTTAAAATACTACTTGCGAAATTGTCTCACGTTTGTAAAAGCCCACTTTCGACATCACCTGCAGAATGAGAAATCCCTTTCTGTATTTCTCTGCAGCTTCCGCTCCAAACAGTCAACTAAATGAAAACGCATCCTAAAAACAAAGCACCAACCACCATGTTGATGGTCTTCGTAAGGAAAGTTAAGTATATTTTCTTTTGCTCAGTATAGTTTTTTTATGATACATGATGGAATTGGCCGATACTTGATGAAACCCATAACGTGTTCTATTAACATTTAATTGGGATTTTTTCACTGATCAGTTCACAAAACTGCAACACGCTTGAGAAAGCTATTGTATAGTGAAACACGTATTAAAGTTTTGAAAAATGTTCAGTGAAAAACTGAAAAGTGTTACTTGAATAGTTTTATGAATTTTCTGCTTGATTCGGCCGTTACTTGATGAAGATCCATAGTAATTTCATAAAATACACCTTTATTTGAGAAAAGTATCACGACATGTTTCGCTAACACAGTAGCTTCTTCAACAGTGATTTTAATACTACAAGTTTCTTCTTAGGCTAATATTTATATACCACAGGTAGGTAACTACAATTGAAACTACCTCTATCAAATTACCTAAACCTCTACAACTTTTATATACCTGAGGTACCCCTTCAAATATGATTACCAGAAGCATATTACCTCACTCCTACTTCAGGTAATCATAAGTGAAGAGGTACCTCAGGTAAGTAACAGTTGGAGCGGTTTAGGTAATCTGATGGAGGTAGTCTCAATTGAAGTTAACTGTAGTATATAAATATTAGCGTAAGTATGAATTGGGGTAATATGCTTCAGGTAATCATAATTGAAGAGGTACCTCAGGTATATAAAAGTTGTATAGGTTTAGGTAATTTGATGTAGGTCTCAATTGTAGTTACCTGTGGTATATAAATATACTGGTATATTTATATACTGGTATATAATAAGATACTGTGTTATCGAAACAGGACGTGATATACTTCTCAAAAAAAGTTTGTGGAGATCAAATCGTAAGGTGTAGATTATGAAATTAGTTTTATGAAGATGGCTGTTTAAATATTTTCAAAGACATTTTAAATTTGCATTTTCTCATTATAAATAGTCAATGTTTCTTGGGAAAGTTAAAATAAAGTTTCGAGTTGAAACAATACATTGGTGATTCAACGTTGCACCACTGATGAGTTCTTGGTAGGTCGAAACGTCGCTGTGTGGTTTTCGATAACAAATGCTCTATTTTGGACTTTACCTCGTTTGAAACCCATATTTTAACAAAACATGGTAAAGATGTTGCACTCATCTTTTTTTGGTTACTGTTTCTAATGTCTGCGAACATGATGAAAAAATATATTGCTAGAATTTGAGGCAAAATGAAACACCCAGTGTATACGTTACCGCATTTAATTATTATCTGTTCAGTTCATACAAATACAAATATTCGTATAAGTTGCAATGAAGAGAAAGCATTGGCAGTGTACGAATCACAGGTCACTGAATAATATATTTCGTCCATTACTTGTATGTTTTGCTCAATAGACCGAAATATGCGATTAGACGAATTGTGTTATCGAAACAGGACGTGATATATTTCTCAAATGAAGTTTGTGGAGATCAAATCGTAAGGTGTAGATTATGAAATTAGTTTTGTGAAGATGGCTGTTTATATATTTTCAAAGACATTTTGAGTTTGTATTTTCTCATTATAAATAGTCAATGTTTCTTGGGAAAGTTAAAACAAATTTTCGAGTTGAAACAATGCATTGGTGATTCAACGTTGCACCACTGATGAGTTCTTGACAGGTCGAAACGTCGCTGTGTGGTTTTGGATAACAAATGCTCTGTTTTGGACTTTACCTCGTTTGAAACCCATATTTTAACAAAAAATGGTAAAGATGTTGCACTCATCTTTTTTTTGGTTACTGTTTATAATGTCTGCGAACATGATGAAAAAATATATTGCTAGAATTTGAGGCAAAATAAAACACCCAGTGTATACGTGACCGCATTTAATTATTATCTATTCAGTTCATACAAATACAAATATTCGTATAAGTTGCAATAAAGAGAAAACATTGGCAGTGTACGAATCACAGGTCACTGAATAATATATTTCGTCCATTACTTGTATGTTTTGCTCAATAGACCGAAATATGCGATTAGACGAAATCCTACAATAAGGGCCAGAAGTGATATTATATCAATTGGTAGAGCTTCCTGAAAAAAACAATAAAAATTGAATTAAAGGAAATGAAAAAAGCCGATAGCCTTTACTCACTTCATGAAAATTATAAATTTGTAAAACCATATGTCCATCCCGCGGACAGGTAGAATTCCCATTTGGACAATCTATTTCAGTTATATTTTCCCATTGGTTGATCATTAGTGCTTCATTGCCGTATTTGAACCAAGAAAGGTATGAAACCCATTTGAAATAAATGGGAATCGATCTAAAATCAATAAATAATAATCAATATTCATTATTTCGATCCTAGTACCTACACAAAGCTGGTGTGGTTTTTGAATATTCGGTACATAGAAAAAAAAATTGAAAGGCAAAAATCTTCAGAGGGAAACAGCAACGGTATTATTTTTTAGGAAGAGAAAGCTTTGTGGCCTTCTATTCTCCATTATTAAACAAAAATGTGAACCTAAAAGAAAAAAAAACCATTCCGAAATAACTACTTTCATTGAATTACACGAAAAATATTTTATTCACTTGTACCATAAACATTCGGTATAGAATTGACACTTATGATATGCAGAGATACGCTACACAATGTGATATATGACAGAGTATTGATATATAATATTACTCAACATCAATGGTGTTCTTTGGAGTTTTGGGATAAGACACTCTTCTTATCACCTCATCAGCATCGTTTTGGATAACATAACAAAGCTCTTTTCTCCAAAAAACTAATCAGTCTTGAAAATATTACATTTTCAGTTTCAATAATCTTATATGATTCACTATCTTCGAGAGAGTAGGTATATTAATTAATATGTATATAAGGAAGTAATTTCTTGTATACTGAAAAGTAACACTAATGGAATCGAAGTGATATGTAATGTCTACTTCAAAAAGTAATTTGGAATATGCTTGTTCTAGATGATAAATAAGAAGTGAAAGGAGTGCAATTTATTTTATGATAAAACTAGGAAAAATAGACCATAAATATGAAATGAAAAATTATAAATTTTAGAAATCATTCGATATAGGGATCAAACAATGAGTGAAATGTAAATAGTATATGAATTATTGGAATAAAAAAGATTAAAAAAAAATTGAAACCAAACTTCAGAATGTTAGTACTTGTAATCGTTTTCGGGTGCTAAGAAGCTTATTCCTGATACTTTGAGACTGTTTATAGGTCACATGGGCACGCTCTCTTTGGGTTTTGTGGATCAATGTAACGTAGATTGCCTTTCTTCTTGATGAGAAGGTTATATGACTTCTGTGAATGAGTTTTTTCCAGAAACAAGTACTAATATTGTACTTTAATCTGTATTCTTATCTTTTGTCATAGCCCTGTCATAAAAGGAAAGGATAGTACTGGCCGTGACGGATTCTCTTTCTTACCGGGCTCTTGTTTTCTGGCCAAAACCCTTTTCACTACCTTTCGGAATAGCCATTTCGTTCAAGGTGCTTCTTGATGTTGCCCAGTTCCTTGTAGAGTCTCTTCTTCATTTTACAAAGACTGAATACAAGATTAGTTAGGTTGGGTTAGGTTAGAGTCGTAAAAAACCATAGAACGTTAACGCACAGAAGTTTCTTCTTCTACAAACTGAAAGGAAAAAACCTCAAGAAACAACTACTTTCACATGAACATTGAATTTCACGAAAGAAAACGTTATTTCGAAACAACTACTCTGATATGAACATTGAATTATACAAAAATCAGTTTTTCCTAATGAGTTTGTACTCTAAACAGTCGTTATTGAATTGGAACATATTGTAACGAATCTAATGCCGCCCCTGACCGATATGCCGGTCGACTCAGCGAACAAACACATGACATCATCGCGAAAGAACCGACTACATATTTCTAGAAATGACCGTTACCGATATAAGCACGGCTTCCTGACCCAAGAGGCGATCTGAAATTTGGGACGCCGCGGGACGGCGCGCCGCCAGAACAAGACATTGCGGGGGAAGATTATGTCAGCAGGCTTCGGCAGAGAATGGACGATATCCATGAACGAGTCTGGCTGTATAACTCTAAGCGACGCCGTGGTTTATCACCGAAGTTGCGGAACTCGTGAGAAGGTCCGTACAAAATCATGAAGATGATAAATGACCACGTCTACAGAATCCATAAGACACCTAAAGGAAAAACTAGATTGGCTCCTTATGCTGGAGATCACGACCAAGTTCGCGCCCTCAGACCACCGGAGGATGAAATGACGTTCCAGAACTCAAGAAAAGCCACGAGACCTTTTCAAGGTTCCAGTTGATTACGCACCAGCTCACTGCGTGTCTGAGGATCTACAAATGTCCTGAGGTATCGCTGTGGTATTTAACAAGAACTCGGTCAGCTCCAAATATTACGAGAACAGTATCCAGAAGTCGAAGGAGTGCTACAGTTGAAGAAGGGCCAGTTAAATATTTTCTACTCGAGACAAATCGTCCTATAAAGATTCCCGGATGAGTCTTACCAGACTGAGGGACACGATGCTCGACCAGAATCTTGTGGAATTCACAATCCCGAAATCAGCCCCTGGGTTCGACAGGCTGGATTGGAGAATTGTGAGAAGCATGTTGGAAACGATATTCAGATCCAGCGTCATCAAGATTTTATTGTGCGGTAACCATCTTACACGACCGAGCATGAAGACTGTGGAGTGTTACTTCCATCGAACTTCACAGTGCAGATATGGAGAGTCATGCAGGTATCGACACACGCCAAAAATGACATTTCGGGGCGAAACGTCTTCGAAAAGGGGGCAATGTAACGAATCTGAAGCCGCTCCTGACCGACAGAGCGAACAAACACATGACATCACCGCGAAAGAATGCTGTCGGGAATCGCCGGTAAAACTCTAGAACCGAACCGACAACAGATTTCTAGAAAGGATCATTATCGATATGAGCACGGTTTCCCGACCCAAGAGGGCCAAGAGGGCAGTTCAGAAAGAGAATCGAGCGGCTAAACTAGAAATTCAAATAGTGGAAATGAATTAGGCGTTAGTTTGTGATTAGTGAAATATTGTTGGAGATAAATTTGTTTAGGACAGTTAATTCATTAAATTGTTACAATAAATTCCTGTATATGTATCTAAAATGGATTTATGTGTATTATCTTCACATTTTACTAACACTTTTCATTGATTAATTCAATTCCTTCTTCCTTAACTGGGAAGATTCCCAATTTTTTATATTGATAAAAACATAAAAAAACACATATTTTTCCGAAATACCAATTTTTCCTGAAAAATGTTCACTTTTCAATAATCTAAATTTTCATTCAAAAAATTTGACTAGTTCGGAATCCAAAATATTTCTTTTTTATATACGATTCAGCAAAT